ATCATCTAATCAAAAAAAGCGAAATGCACAAAGTAAGTCCAAACTTAGGAAATCTTATCATCATTTTCAACTTGATCATTATTGTTGCTTAAGGAAGAAAGAAAAAGATATCTATGTTATGTTAAGGAAACGGACCTTGGATCGGAGTGAACCTAACTCAACCCAAAGAAAGAATGCTTATCTTATGTATAGAATGTGACCAAAAACAGAGAAGAGAAGAAGACAACACTGTAAGTAAAAACCAGAGAATAGAGAGAATTAAAAAGCTGAGATAAAAGAAATTGCTTTTTTCTGGCCTATTTATTTCTCTGCAACTGCAGATTTTTATAGACAAAAGATAACAAATTAATTTTTTAATATTTTATAAAATGACAGTAAATATTTATAAACAGGTAAAATTATATAAAAATTAAAAAAAATTATAAATATATAAAATATACATATATATATATATATATATATATATATATCCCCACAAAAAACTAGTCAAACAATCTATTATACGCTACTTACAAGTAATTTTTTAAAAGGTGGAGGTGTGAGGCGGGACGTTTTACTTGATATGGGGCGAGGCATAAGCCTGGAGGTGGGGGCGTAAGCCCCATGGATCTTTAAAAATTAATAAAATAACATAATTACACAAAAAAATATAAAATATAAATTAAAAAAATTAAAGGAACTCATAGAAAAAAAATATCTAGCATGATTCTTAAGTATAACTAATGCATACAAATCACGTATAACGTCTTTAACTTTCAAATAATTAAAAACTTACAATTTCTTTAAAAAAATGATCAAACTCCACATTTTACCTTCCTAAAAGTAAATAATTAATAAAATCTTATTAGTACGATAATTAAAATATTACTCCTTCATGAATAAATACAAATTAGTTTAAGATATCAAATTAATAAAAGTATATAATAAGGAGAAACAAATGAACTAAGACACGACCAATAACAAGTGAAGATATAAATTCGCAATACTATGTCTCATTATTAGAGTTATGCTTAATCTTCATATTTCTATCGATGAATAGAACTTTTATCATTAATTTGTTAAAGAATTTTGAAGGTCAACGATATTAATTAGAAAATTTGACACGTAATTTGCGTTAGAACTGTTAGGCCAACCCCGAGTGTAGGGCGTTAGGCGTATTTAGGGTGCACGGTCGGGAGCTTGGGGCGTAAGTTTCACAGAACCAAGCCTCATACATAAGCCCAAGGAGTTTTGCAAGTGCCCCGCCCAGGGACAAGCCCCAGGTGAGTCCCAAAAATACCTTTTAAAATACTGCTTATTAGAACCTTTTTTTTTTGCTCACATAGAAAGATGCTGATCTTTTTGTAGAGACAAGTCAAACTGATAACTTTACTCGTAAATGCAGGGTGATTATATGTATGAGACATATGCAAAGGGATTGCACTAACACCATGTCATGACCCAATTCTCCCTCTGTAAGATGTCGTGACAGAAGTAAGTCACAAGCTACAGGAGAAAACTAGTATCTTTATACACCAGAGTCTAATAAAAGAAGTAAGGAAGGTAAATGACATAGGAGAAAATGGAGGGGGACTCCGAGGTCTGCGGACGCGACAGATATACCTTGAAATTTTCGTATGACAGCAAACACTCTCAGCTAGTAGCGGAGCTGATAAGAAGTACCTAGATCTGTACATAAAATATGTGCAGAAGAGTAGCATGAGTACACCACAATGGTACCCAGTAAGTTCCAAGCCTAACCTTGGTAGAGTAGTGACGAGGTCAGGTCGGGGCCCTACTGGGATATAATAATAAGACAGATGCTATAATAAAAATGAAGTAAAATGGAGAATACAACAACAAGTATTCACAAAGCAATAACAACACCTCGCAATGATATAGCAACCGGGACGCTACCGAGATACCGTCTCGTAGTCCCAAAAGTAAATATACAGGGAGAACTCCCGAGGTACCGCCTCGTAGTCTTAAAAGTTAATATGCAGGAAAAACTCCTGAGGAACCGCCTAGTAGTCTCAAAAGTAAATATGCAGGGAAAACTCCCGAGAAAATGCCTCGTAGTCTCAAAAGTAAATGTGCAAGGAGAACTCCCGAGGAACCGCCTCGTAGTCTCAAAAGTAAATGTGCAAGGAGAACTCCCGAGGAACCGCCTCGTAGTCTCAAAAGTAAACAAATAGCTCAAACCGATAAATACAACAGTTAACAGCAAGAATTCTACAGTTAAGACTGATAAATATCAAGAGAAAACAGGAAATCAATTAGGCATGCTGCACAAAGTTCAAATAAGCAGTTAAAGCACGTAGACATGAGATATTAGACTAAACAGGGTAACTACACATGCTGGTATAACTCAATTAAAATAAAAACAGATCACTACAACAAAGTGAAAAATTCGGTTTTACAACAAATAGCCTGTGTCACCTCACGTACACGGCGCTCACATATCACAACAGTAGCAAATCCTAATGGGATTTCCCCCAAACAAGGTTAGGCAAGCCACTTACCTCGAACCAAGCTCAATCAATCGGTAACAATGCCTTTTCCACGAATATCCGACTCTGAATGGCCCAAATCTAGCCAAAATCAATTACATACCATAAATACAACTATAAAAAATTAATCTAATTAATGAAATCAAAGTTAAAGCAAGAATTTAGAAAATCGCCCCAAAAAGTCTTCCCGGGACCACGTCTTGGAATCAGGTAAAAGTCACAAAATATGAACACGAATCAGGTAAAAGTCACAAAATATGAACACTCATTCCCTCATGAGTTCACTTGTACCAAAATTATCCAAAACCGATGTCAAAATCTCAATCAAAACCCAAAATCTTAGTTGAAAAACTTCTTCCCATTTTCCCCAAAATTTCAACCCAAATCCGAAATTAAATGATGAAATCAACCATAGATTAGTGGAATATAACCATAAATGAGTTAAGATTCGTTACCCAAAAGTTTTCTTTGAAAATCCCTCAAATAATCGCCCAATCCGAACTCTCAAAGTCCCAAAATTGGAAATGAGACCAAACCCTCGAAATTTCCTCTTTTCTGTCCAGCGATCTCGCACCTGCGAAATTTTCCTCGCAGGTGCGGAAATGGCTTAAGGAGGTTGGGTCCACATCTGCGAGCAAGGGGCCGCACCTGCGTGCCCGCTCCTGCGGATATCTTCCGCTTTTGTGATCCTCACGCTTCAGGCCCCTCTGCTTCTGCGCTCTATCTTCCGTAGATGCGGCTCCGCTTCTGCAGGCCAATCTCGCACCTGTGCCCACAGACCAAGCTTGACCAAACTGCACCTGCGCTCCTCCTTCCGCACGTACGAGTCCGCACATGCGGTCTCCCCTCCGCAGGTGCGAAAACACCAGAAACCAGAAACTTTAGCAATTTGCATAAGTCCAAATTCAATCTGTTAAGCATCTGAAACACACCCGAGGCCCCCAGGACCTCAACCAAACATACCAACAAGTCCTGAAACACCATACAAACTTAGTCGAGCCCTCAAATCACATCAAACAATGCTAAAAATATAAATCACCCTCCGATTCAAACTTAATGAACTTGAAACTTTAAATTTCTACAACTGATGCCGAAACCTATCAAATCAAGTCCGATTAACCTCAAATTTTGCACACAAGTCATATTCGACATTACGGACCTACTCCAACTTCCGAAATTGGAATCTGACCCCGATATCAAAAAGTCCACTACCGGTTAAACTTCCCAAAAATTCAACTTTCACTATTTTAAGCCTAATTTCACTACAGACCTCCAATTTACATTCCGGACACGCTCCTAAGTCCAAAATCACCCAACGGAGCTAACAGAACCGACGAAACTCTATTTTGGAGTCGTCTTCACACAGTTCTAATTACAGTCAAAATCCTAAGACTTAAGCTTCCGTTTTAGGGACTAAGTGTCCCAATTCACTCCGAACCCACAACAACAACCTCCCGGCAAGTCACATAAGCAGAAAAAGATACGGGGAAAGCAGCAAACAAAAAATTGGGGTTATTACTGATAAAACGACTGGTCGAGTCATTACACACCAGTTTGCAATTGTATGGGAGAGAGATTATATCAATATGTACATGGCATGAGGGCAATTTGTAAAGATTAAAACCATTTCCTATGTTAAATGGTGGATGCTTTGCACCTTACAACATGTAATTAGGTCATGTATGTATATACCACAGGCAAATTTTAATACACTGTAAGGACAGGAGATCATGAATGTTTTAATTCAGATTATCGAATTTCTTGAATAGAGTTGATCCTTACTTCAGCTTCCCTTTTTTGAATGCCTCATATTAGTCTAAAAGATTTTTCACATTCAACGGCGTATCCAGCCATGAGTTTGCTGGCAGAAGATAGTGTTTCGGAGTCAAATCATATATGCATGTTTGCGAAAAACAAGTGTGTAGTGTAGATAATATTTAATTATATATTTCAAAATTCATCTAAATTTTGAATATGCCACTAATGACAGTAGATACTCTAGTCTTAGCAAAGCAAAAAGATCAATTATTTGCACTGACCTTTGAAATAGTACATATTTTGCCTCCCCATCGTCTACTTGCCACGTGTCCATGCATACCAAAGTTTCTCCTCTTATTATTCTTTTATTTAATTAATCAAGATTTCTTGAAGTTGTTTGTCGGATGGCCAATGCAACTAATCATATCAAAAGTTAAAGAATTTAGAATCAAATTTTAAGTTCAATGTTGGCTTACATTCTTAGAACATTTATATTGTTAAGAAAAAAGGAATCGAAAACAGTACGGTACCATAAAACCTGCTCGCACGTTGCCAATAACAAATGTAACAGACCTTGTAGTTTGGTTACGTGGTACAAAGATAAATAAATTCTATAACAAAACATTTGACTTTATAACCTAACATGTTCGTGGGGGCACGAAGGCTACATTTTCTTGTCCCTTAGACACAAACTATAAAAGGCCTAAGTTACAAGTCAATTAAGACATAACAAAATTGTCTGAAGTGTAACATTCTATTTCTTAAGAAGAGCTAAAAGGAAACAAGCAACAATGGCATCTCTCAACTGCAGATGGATATTGAGTTTCTTCCTCATTGCGACAATGACACTTTTTCACCAAGCAATAGCCGACGGTTACTATTCCACCCCTAAGTTTAAAGCCATGCCTTGGAAGCTTGCTTATGCCACGTTCTATGGGGACGAGACTGCTTCCGAGACAATGGGTGCGTTACACTATAGTCAATCAACTATCCCTCGATACCAAACTAATTCAGACTGTTCTTGAATTCTAGCTTATTGTGACACTGTCTTATTTTTTGATTACTAATTTTGTTCGTTATTGCAGGTGGAGCTTGTGGATATGGGAACTTGTTCAATTCTGGTTATGGAACAGCAACTGCAGCATTGAGCACAGTGCTATTTAGCAATGGATATTCATGTGGGCAATGCTTCCAAATACAGTGTGTGAAGTCTAAATTTTGCTACAAAGGATTTACCACAGTTACAGCCACAAATCTCTGCCCGCCCAATTGGGCCCAAGACTCCAACCATGGTGGTTGGTGCAACCCGCCACGTCAGCACTTTGACATGGCTAAACCTGCTTTCATGAAAATTGCTCAATGGAAAGCTGGCATTGTCCCCGTCATGTACCGTAGGTATGTCTATTATAGCACGTAAAGTTACACTGATAATATAATTTTTTTTCTTTCTAAATTAAGAGTTAACAATCAATTTAAGGACGAGTAAGTTGCTCTAGTAACAGAACACCTCCATCGTCAACTAGTAGGTTGAAGGTTCGAGCCATATAACTTTAAGAAATTATTTTATATTTGAACTTTGTCCATCCAATTTAAGCTAATCTTGTATCATTTCTTGCATCTCTAATATGGTGTTACTTCTATGTGGTGCAGGGTACCTTGCATTAAGAAAGGCGGGATTCGGTTCGCATTCCAAGGAAACGGTTACTGGTTATTGGTATACGTGATGAACGTCGCCGGAGGGGGTGATGTGGCAAGCATGTGGGTGAAGGGAAGCAAAACAGGGTGGATGAAGATGAGCCATAATTGGGGAGCATCATACCAAGCATTTGCAACACTTGCAGGACAATCTCTTTCTTTCAAACTCACTTCCTACACAAATCATGAAACTATTATAGCTTCTAATGTTGCACCTTCTAATTGGCATGTAGGCATGACTTATCAAGCAAAAGTCAACTTCCATTAGTCATGTAATGACTTAAATATTGGCTAATGCGGATTAGTCGGGCTAGTAAATTTTGGATACCTAATGGCTTAAAATTTTCCTTCTAAGCCTTCTGGCCATCTTCGCTACCCTTTTTCCCCTTTTTACTATCTAGGCGCCCTTGAAGGAGTGGTGCTACGATCTTCTTCCTACAAAAGTCTTGCTGTAGATATATTTGCCAGCAGTCTTTTAAGTTTTATTTTGCAATCTTGTACCTAGTCTTTCAATGCTGAAAGGAATGTACGTCTCTTGTAATGCTGAAATAAAACAATAATATGACCATTGCTACTATAGTTTCTTTTTCGAGTTTTGTAAGGCTAAAATATATTATGCTTCCATGCCGTAGACAATTAGTGAAAATAAAGACACCCATTGGCTAACGATACAAAATCATAGGAAAGCAAATTATAGCAATAATTGAAGAATATTCTATTCTGTCTATCCAAAAAATATAAGTAGGGAGAAAGGAATATGATCATATATGGGGTTCCAATCTTCTCAAGAAGTCAGTAGGAACTTATCAAGGAAAGTTATTAAATACTTTAGACTGACATGTATGAGAATTGAGAAACAAAATCAAGCTTAATTATCTAATTACCCGCGCTTAGAAAGATTGTCTTCTTATACACTGAATTTATTCATTATAAAAGTAAAATATCATTTAAAATACTTGAGGATCTAATCATCTAATTTGTAGCATAAGAATTTACATACAAAATTACTTTCTCGTAACACAATTTATTATTATACCTTAAACTTGAACTACTGGAGATATCAACATGCACCACATTCTTAAAATAAAAACTCATAACATGAGATGAAATACCAGAACCTAAATAACTAAGTCAAGAGCTCCGTGACTGATTCAAGACAGATCGTCAAACAATGGCTGACTTGATTTTTTTTTTTTAGAAGAATAGAAGTATTCAATCTATTGAATGGCTCCTTTCAATCAAGAAATTATACATTGGAGTGGGAGACATGTAACAAAACCAAAAGATAGAATATTTTAAGGCCATGAGGTAACACAAAGAGACTTTACCTAGTTGCCTTCATCTCACTCATTAAGCACGCCTCTTCTTNAAAAACACACACACACACAAAACCTCCTCTATATTCTTACATTATATTTCAACCCCACAAAAGATTTTGAAAAGTTGCATTACTTTCAAATTTAGATGTTAGAGTAACAGCTCATACTCTCATACTCCCTCAAAAGTTTGAAAGAAAGAAAAGAAAACTAAAGTTAGTCAAAACTTCAGCACAAAGTATAGTTAGAGAAATATTTCCTACGTTTCAATTTATGTGAGCATATTTTATCGGGCACGGAGTTTAAAAAAAAAGAATTTTGAACTTGTGACGTGAAATGAGGCACATATATTTTGTGCGACTATAAGTCATTGCATAAAGATAAATTATTTTTAAATACGAAAAAAACTCATTCTTTTTGATACGGACAAAAAAAAATGTTCACATGATCAGACACGGAGAGAATAGAAACTTTATTTCAAGATTACGCCCCTAGTCTAGCCTAAGAACGGGGAGAAGTGGAAAAAGGAAAAGAAAAGAAAAAGAAAGAAACACACTACTATAGACTTATATTGCCTGAAAAACACATATTATGACAGAAACATCACATAGTACTTTCTCTTTTCCCCATCTTTCTCTCTGGCCCTAAGAAAGCCCATAATCTCCATCCTATTTTCCATTGTCAAGTGCCAAAAAAAGCCTCCTTATTTTCCCTTTGATGATCAATGCTAGAAAAAACACAAGAATCTACACTCTTCAGATGGGCTCACTTCTTTATCTATATTTGATATTACTTCCATTGGCATTCACCGCGACCCTTTCAAGTCAAGAACAAGGCATAAAATCAGCCCGACTTCTTGATCTAGTCCTCAGAGACTACACGTTTCGATCTTACAACAAAAACAACTTCAGAACAGCAAAATTGTATGCGATACATTTACCAGCCAACCTCTCAGGGATCAGAGTCGATTCAGTTAGATATCGATGTGGCAGTTTAACAAGATATGGTGCCAAAATCAAAGAATTCAAATTACCTATTGGGGTAAGTATCCAACATTGTGTTGAAAGAGTTCTCATACTTAGACAAAATCTTGGATCCAATTGGTCTTCTATATACTATGACAATTATGAATTATCAGGTTATCAACTTATTTCACCTGTTTTAGGCCTATTAGCATACAATGCTGGTGATGATATGGTAACTTCTACAACCCCTTTTGAGCTTATAATTCAATCTGATAAAATTCCAATCACAATTGATTTTAGCAATACAACAAGACTAGTAAATGATACTAGTACATCTGGGATAATACCATTATGTGCTAGCTTTGAGCGCGACGGAAAGGTGACACTAACAAAACAAGTGTCACAAAATGTTTGTGCTGCTAAAAAACAAGGACATTTTGGTTTAGTAATTGAGTCACCTCTAATGCCATTGAAAAATAAAAGGGCAAGTAATTGGAAATTAGCTATTGGGAGCGCGATTGGAGCTGCGTTGGGCGCGTTCCTTTTAGGTTTGCTACTGATTGCAATATTTGTGAAGGTGAAGAAGAAAGCAAGAATGGAGGAATTGGTTAGAAGAGCATATGAAGAAGAAGCTTTACAAGTTTCTATGGTTGGACATGTGAGAGCTCCAACTGCAGCTGGTACTAGGACTGTTCCAACTATTGAACATGACTATAATCCTCATAATTCTTGAATTAAATTTTAGATATTTTCTTGTTTTGTGGATCATTCTTTTTGTAAGCTGAACATCTTTTTGAAGTTTTCTGTACTGATACAATTGTGCTTAGGCCAGGAAGATATAGATTAAATGCTGACCATTAATTTTTTCTCTCTGTTCTGATAAATGGGACTTCTTTCCTTTTCTTATTCTTTTCCTTATGTTTTAGTAATTTTTTCACATTAGAGATTCAGAAAACTACCCCTGGTATGTGCCGCTTTCTTAATCAAAAGATAGGAGAGCACCTTTTCTCCCGAACATACATTGTTATTTTACCGAGTTCCTTCAACATTATTCTCTTGAGCTTCATAGTATACTCTACTTGTTCACCTGTATTGATTTGGGATACGATCAGTTTACCGGAAGGATTGCCCTTGACAACAGGTTATTTACTTTTATCTTTTAGGTTAGTAAATTATGTTTATTATAGACATTTATCTGTTGTTATAAGTCGCGTAAAGAACTTATCACTGTCAGAGCATAAACTTAGACTCATATAAAATGCAAAATAAAAAGACACTTTCAGTGTGGGGATTTGACTTTAGACTGTGGGATTAACAAAATGATGAACCATAATAATGAAAAATGAAAAAGCAAGCAGTAGAAATAATAAAAGTTTAAAGGCGTGTTGTTTTGAGTCGACAAACTTTAGAAAGAAGGCATGTCCCAATTTCCTCATGAAATGCTAAAGCAACTTTTAAAAAAAGAAAAAAAAGAAGAAAAATAGAAAGAAAGAAGAAATGCTAAAGCAATCATGAAACAGTGTGATCAACAGATAAAAGCCATGTACATGAACATGACCATAGATCAGTCAGTTGGAATTGAGAGTCAAATATAATACGAATTTTGGATAATACAGGGATGTAACTAATATTCCCTCCGACCCAAATTATCTTTCGTGATTTCTAAATATAATTGTTTTAAATTATTTATCATGTTAGAAGTTCAAGACAAAATAAATTATATTTTTCCATTTTACCTTTAATTGTAATTGCTCTCGAAAGAGGGGAGCCTTGGCATAACTGATCGGAGCCGTGAAAACAACCTCTTGTAGAAATGCAGGGTAAGGTTGCATACAATAAACCCTTGTGGTCCGGCCCTTCTCAGATCCTTCGGTTCCAAATTATATGATGGTGTTTGACTGAACACAAAAATTTATGAAAGAAAAATACTTTTGAAATTTGTGGTCTAAAATAAGCCAGAAATATTTGTGCAGTTATAAATTATCTCATTAAAGGTAAAATGAACATTTTAAAGTTAAATTGTTACTATATTATTTCTTTTTGGACTGACTAAAAAGGAAAAAAGATCGCGTAAATTAGGATAGAAGGAGTAATAATTTTTAGAGAAATTTTCAGAAACCACTATTGTTTAGTGGCTATTAACTTCCTATAGCTACCATATACTTAATTACTTCATATAGCTACCTTTTCAGTTGTTATGGTAATGTATTCAATGTATTCACGCTACTCTATTCATGAATACAGTAGCAAAACTCGGCTAAAAGATAGGGCAGTCCAGCTGTACGGCGCTGTATTCACATGTATTCGCGTCATATTTTCATGAATACAGTAACGACAATCAACGTAAAAATAGGTCTCTCCAGCTGTTTAAAAACGAAAAGGGGATCAATTAACGTGATACACTCCTAATATAACTCAACAAACACCATTATAACACGCAACATTATCAATCCAATTAATGAGAAGATTTTTCAGATGACAAACACCAAAAAATAGAGCCGTCTTCAGAGTTTTACTTCTTTTTTTTTCCTGGTATCGTTCGAGATTTTTTTTCCACTGATATTGTTCGAGGTTCTGCTAGGAAGTGATACAAGTATCTATAGAAATAGTTTGAAATTTGATTTTCTAGATGGCAAGTTTAACCGTGCTAATTCGTCATTATGGCAAGTGGAATATTAAAAATTGTTATGTCGATTATTCGATTGATGGGATACTGATAAAGGAGTATGCGTCATACAATGATTTGGTTGCTTCAATTTCGAAGCAACTTGGCATAGATTTGAGCTCAAAGTCAATTAAAATTGAATACAAAGTGGAAGAAAATTGCACACCTATGGAAATACACAACTACAAGGGCTACATGGTGTATGTAGAGTTGAAAAAGGAGAACAGAGAATTCGGAATGTATTCATTGTGTATAACTACAATGGATAAAAAATTAATCTGGTCTTAATAGTTATTCATAATTAATTACAGAATCGTCAATTAACTTCATGTTAACAAAAATCTCATTTCACACCTTCACAATACTGATAACGAGATGCGATGCATGAAGACCTCATAATAATTTACCCGAATTAATGAATTACCTTTAACGCCACATGGGCGAGTACCTACCTCGTAGGTTACAACTTAATATTACAACACAATTTGGCAAGTATGCACAGAGAATTTCATACAAATATTTTTTTTTAATAAGCCTAGCAGGCATGACTCCCTATTAGTACTATCGTACAAATTTAATTTCACAAGGGAGAATTTAAGTACAAGAATTATTTTATCACAAGGATCTCGTCCTTACATAACTTCTACCGCAGCTCATAGCCCGGTTTAAATATATCAATTTATTTTTAAAAAAATACGAGGAACCTCGGCCTCAGTTCTGAATCACAAGTAATATGCACATCTTGTCAATCAAACCTTTCCATTTTCTCCTTTTAAATAACTTTTGTTAAATAAAATCATAACACATAATGAACCCCACACTGGTAGGGCATATAATTCACAATTTATAAATAATTATCCGGAAATACATCAAAACATACCGAAATAAGTACTAGAAAGGCACCTTTAGCCTCACAGATCTTATTAGAGTCCATCATGGAATGATAGGTGTAGTTATCTCCATAAAACCTCCCCACAGAAGTAGACACATAAGTAGATTATAGAATTACGAAGCTCACTCATAAGTGGAGCACAATAGGAGGACTCGTCTTGATACTCAGAACCGAATCAAGTTAAGGAAATTATTCCTTTATTTTAAATCGAGGTCGTACCTATAACGACACCTTCTGATGTAACGACCTCCACCATACCATAAAACAAATATAACAACGGTTGGGTCTCCACCTCTAGGACGCCTTCTACCCACCTGTCCTCTACCCTTAACTGATCGTGTGGGTGGTGTAGTAACTGCAATGGGGCACGTAGCCTGAGTGCATTGATGAAATATATCTCTCCCAAGTTTGGGATAATTTTTTTCTCATGATGCCTAGTATCGCCATATGTATAACAACCCCTTTGCGGGTTTGGCTGCTCATATTGAGTCTGTGCCAGATAACTGGAATAACCATTGTAGGAAACTCATGCCAGTGGTGCATTAAAAGAACTTACTAGAGCACCTCGATTAATCTGATATGCGAACTGGGCTGGCCGACTACCCGAGCCCCTGCCATAATGATTTATACTCGCAGAGTAGAATCCACCGAATCCCTCAAAACCTCGAGACGTCTTGGTCTCCTTAGTTTCCTTTTTCCTCACCCCGAACACGTTCTAATATCTTGGTAATTTCTACCACTAGTGGAAATTAAGTATTAGCCTGTAGCTCCCGCGTCATACAAAATTTTACGATCATAATTAAGTCCTTTAATGAGTCTGTGGACTCGCTCTCTGGTTGTAGGAAGCAAAGTAGGAATATGACGGGCTAACTTATTGAACCGATGGCATATTATGACACCGTCATTGTGACCTGACGCAATCGTTCAAACCCTATGTGTCATGCATTATGGAGAGTCCGGGAAACAAACTCTTTCAAAAGTATTTTTGAGAACCGAGCCAAGTGGGCGGTGTTGTATTGACTGGTCTGCCCTCTTCATAGGCTTGCCAGGACACCTGTGGAGAATTATCTCTCCCAAGGCCAATTTTTTCTTTTGTTATGCTGTCTCAACACTGTTGAGCTGGCCCATTTCTTAACATACTCTTCGATTCTTCTCAGAGGTAACCCTTACCCCTATTTATACACAACGATCACAAAAGTAGAGCTCCATACAGACAAATTTTGGCACAAATCACATAGTCCAAAATCTCGTCTACCATTGTATTTCCTCCGAAGCATCCCAAAATACGCAACCATGATGTCCACGCTGAGTAGATCTTCTGTAAATTTAAAGTTGTTTCTCTAACTCCTTTGGTACTGAAGTATAGGATTATTAAGTAGGCGGACATACCGCAAGTACCAACCTTATCCTCTATAAAATCTCAGGCCTTAAACATGTGTAAATTTTTGGGGAACCTTTCAGTACCACTTATATACATTTCAGGCCAAAATTGATATAACACATGACCCCGCAATCCATTCATTAATAGTGGACTCCCCCACTCGGTNGCATCTTCAGTCGAAATCACACGTTGAGGCATTGTTTGAGCATCTCTTGCTCCCTCGTAGTTCATCTGCGGCATCACGAACCGTCGACGCACAACTGATACTGAGTGCGTAATGTCATACACGAGTGGATACAAAGGAATACGAGATATAAGTTTCAAGCAAAAATCAATGATGCACGATAAGGAATGAAATGAGTGATATTGTTCCTAAACTTCATAGCCTCTAAGAGATAAGTACAGACGTCTTTGTACCGATCCTTCAGACTCTACTAAGTTTGCTCGTGACTCGTGAGACCTATGTAACCTAGTGCTCTGATACCAACTGTCACGACCCAAAATTTCCCACCGATGGGACGGTGATGGCGCCTAACATTTCGCTTGCTAGGCAAGCCAACATTAGAAAATCGTTAAACTAATTCCTTATTTTCATTCAGTAAATAATAATAATTAACTAAGATAAAATATAAGAGGTGCGGAATTTTATAAAACTATATTAATTACTACCATCCGGATCAGGAGTCACAATTCACAAGCATTCTAGAATTTACTACAAGTAATAGTCTGGAAGAAATACAATTGTCTGAATGAAAGAAAACAACAGTGACATAAAAAGTAGACGGGGACTTCAAGGTCTGTGAACGCCGACAGATCTACCTTGAGTCTCCGGACAGCGGAACAATAGCAAAATCTCAATCAACCTGAACCGGTATCAAAGTCTGCACAGAAAGTGCAGAGTGCAGCATCAGTACAACCGACCCCATGTATTGATAAGTGTC